GAAACGTGAAAAAAGTTCAAATGCTTGATTTTCATTCCTGGACACGCTATGCCTGTGGCCGTTAATTCTGAGCATCAGCATCACCTGTGGTGTTTCAAAAAATTCCATGCCAGTTTCCCACCCTAAGTCTACTAAGTTAGTTTTCAGGAATGGAAATCAAGTATTTGATAAATAAGGCAAAGAATAAGACAATTCTGAAGACAGAAGACATTTGTGTTAAGTTGGCACTAGATTCAGTACCTGTTGGTCTTTAGTATAGTTGATACGCTCTTTCATCTAAGTTTCCATTTGTAATATTTTTGCATCTAGTTTTCTGGGATAGATAATCCAGATGGCCACTGATAAATACTGGTAGAGTGACTGCTAGAATTGTTTTTAGAGCCATTTTGTCTGTCGAGGAGAACCACTACCATAAGCAAAATGGTTGAGATTGCTTATGAAGTCACCCATCACAGACGTAACTTTGTGATTTCTTCAGCTGAGAGTATTTGTTTAGTTAAGCATCCTTCTCAGGGGTTCCAAGAGTCTATATCTGATTCCCAGTGCCATCACTATCAGCCTCGGGAGGCAAAGGTGAGAAAGCCTTATTAGTCTAACTCCAAATTTGCTATTCATTTTATTAATTTCATATAGGAAAATGAACAGCGACTAGAACCTCTCTTTTAACCATCTAGAAGTCTTGTTTATTGCTTTCACCATGCGTTACTAAATCATGTGGAGTTTGAGTAGAACTATGCATGCTCTTTTTACACTTGCTTCTGGGCACTGAACAATCATAAATGAACTTCCATCATGAATTTTCTGGATATGGGCTAAAAGACTGTTTTTTCTACAGTCTTTCAGTTAGTGGTTCATGCCAATAAATTGACTGTAGTGTGGAAGCTAGCAGAATATGAAAATGTTTGGCTTATGGCTTACTAAAACTGGAAAAATGACACATATTGCTGATTTCATTTACCTTAGCGCACCTCCCAAGTCTCGAAGATCTATTTGTGGGTGTTTTGCCATCATGAATATAACTGATGTCGCGAGGATTACTAAAACAGCAACTCAGGAAAACATCTTTAGAGAAATCTGATCTTAACCTCAAAGTGTATTTAGCAAGCAATATTGAAATTAAACTAAAATGGAAGGATAGTTTAAAAATCAATAGCTCAATGGTGCCATTCATAGTCTGATACAGGTATTTGCTGTCTTATTAAATGAATTTGCTATTTTATAAAATATTCCTGGCATTTTCAAACACTCTGCCTGTGCATAACATCTACACATATCTTAGTTTAAAACACTATCCAATGAGGTTTTACAATGAAAATGTTCCATCCTACTCTTTACATCCCTTCTCTGGCACCTCATCCCCTACTTCCCCAGAAACAAAGGCATACGATGCTGAAGCAGCCGAGGCATATCTATTCCATAACAGAGAAGTGAGTGATTTTGCATGACTGGCCTTAATGGTACCAGCATGGATCTCTGCCTGGCTGAACCCAGCAAAGACTCGGTAATTCATGGGTGACTTCCATTCTCTCCTGCTGTCTAAGTGAAAACTTACATTGAAAAAGGCCCTCAGTTTATATATAAAGTATAAGCAGCAAAGGTGTGCTGTCTTAATTTTCAGTCTAACCCTCAAGACATCCTCCATGGCATCAGTATTAAAGCAGAAACCAAAACTACATTTTCCTATTCAATAATAAGCTATGGAAGTTGCATGGGGTCGAGTCTCTAGGAAATCCCCTCTTTCTTTGAAAAAATGTCATTGGTAAGATAGGAGATTGGCACCACAATGAGTAAAATATAGTGCGGGCTGCTATGCACTGTCAGGTAGAATTTGGTTTGAGACACTGACTTTTGTCTGCGTGGTGTCTCCGTTCCAAAGAAGATGGAAGATGCAAAATTGCAAGTTTCCAATCTCTGGTTAATGTGGTCTATACAACTGAATAATGTATAAGGAGATGTTCCTTTGATAATGTCACAATTATTCATTGTACAGCCATAAACTCAAATATTCACATTAACAGCTAGGTATTATTTTTCTTCTCTGAAATTAAGTGAGCGGCATCAGTGGTCATAAATGAGAGCATTCATCAAAGGCGGAGCCATGGCAGAGGATTAAGTGAATGCTGATGAAGTGTCCAGATTCCCATAACTTGGAATGGAGCTGCATTCAGCATTCCTTTATTATCCATCTGCCACATAACAAAAAGTCTCCTATATTTAATGCAGGTTTGCCCTAGGCCACGTAATAGGATTAGGAATAATTTCTACAAATTTACAAAAACAAATCACATGGGAAGGCTTAGAATTTGCTAATAATTTCTCCATAGCTGGGAGATCAAAGGGATGTAAGAGTCCCTAGCCAGGCGGTAGTTTGACCCTGGCCAGGCTTTTTTAATGAAAGGGTTAATCTTCTCCGAGGTGACCATAGAGGAGCAAATAGTGTGACCAAAGGCAGATTCAGGCCTCCAAAAAACAAGGAAGAAAATAGTCTGAAAAGTACAACAGCAAGAAAACATTTACAGAATCACGCGACATTTTCTGGTTTAGAAAAAATAAAACTGCAGAACCTCATTGAAAGGGGCAAGACAAAGGACGAGAGCTGGCTGAGAAACAAACCCAGGAAAGATCAAAACCCCTCACCATTGCCTTGAGGAATAAAAGAAATTAGGCTGCTTGCTTGTTCTTTTAAAGGTTTTCCCATCGTGGTCAGGTAAGGGCCGCCATCCATCTCTTAGCCCACTCACACTGTTCCTGTTGAACTTTGAGACGCAGCCCACCTGGCAAGGGTCTGCTAGCATGCCATTTCAAGTGTACCACTTTATAAATAGGCAGATTGGGATAGAAAATCATGAATTCTTACATGGACTTTCTCCAATCTTAAAGGGAAATGAAGGTGAACAAAGGCATATTAAAAATAATGAAGGCAGCTAGAACTAATGGCATTGCTCCAGTGTCTTTCAAGATCTTTATTACTAATTCAGATAAGTGGAAATCTGTAGCCCAAATCTGCTATCCCACCTTTTCTTCCAAGTGGCTATAGTGATGAAGCCAGGGCTCACACATATCAGGAGCCCCACCAGTCCTTTTTCCTAGCAATGGTTATGGGATCCCATTGTCAGCCTGCATGATTTGTTCTCAAGACGTCCTGAACACAATGCTGGGCTTCTCCTTTATCTATTGTGCTACTCAGCAAATGGATTAAATATAGGATCTGTCTAGTGCATGAGACATGCTAGATACTTTTAATATAGTCTTGCTGAAAGTCCACTTAGCCTTTGATGGAGGTGAGAGGCTTCCTATTACTAAGTCTCACCACCTTAGTGTGGATCCAGCCAGAGGGAAATAAAAGTTGCCTGTCTCTTCACTTTTATTACCTGTTGGTTTGTTAAGACTAAGATTGAAGTTGGAGGTGAAGGTCCTTCTTGGAAAACTCGCTAAAAGAAATCAGCTTGGGAGAAAAGGAAGGAGTCTGAGAAAAAAAATGGTCTCATTAGTCAAAACAATGGTCTCAAAATGAAGTAATTTCTTTTTTTCAGAGTTATACCTTTCTTTTGACTTCCAGCTCCTAAGAAGCAGGCTTATGACTGATGGGCTTCTTTCTGGGAAGAGTTCAGAAGAAATCAACTCCTTTCGTCCAGTGCCCTCTGATCCTCTCACTTCTTTCCCCAGAACTGAGGGAAAACTGATCATGAATTGTTCCAGGGCCCTGTGGGCATTGGTGGAAGATAGATGCCAAGATAGACTTCTGAAACCTCAATATCCTGCTTGCCAGTTCCATGCATGCTAGATTTCTTAGTGGCAACAGTGTGGAAGAATGGTTGGTTCTTCTGGCAGAAACAGCAGACCTGAGACAAAATATATAGACTATCTTGGTACTCAATGGCTTACTGACTTATGTATGGAGGAGGTCCTAAGTCCACCAGGTCTTGTCATTCTCATCTTCTCTCTCTCAAATTTATCTTTTCCCTGCTATTCTCACTGCTGCAGTTCAGACACTGAGAATTTCCAATCTGGTCCTTACTTCACACTTTCACAGCATCCAACTGCAAGTATGGTCCAATATATTTATACTGAACTGAATTCAGTTCCTCGATAAATGATTTTTCTCCAACATTTTTATGATTTCACTCATTCTATCCTTCCATTCAAAACGTTTTCCTTCTTGTTCACATGGTAAAAACTTCAAACCTCAAATATAAGTTTCTCCATGAAGTGATTTCAGTCAGGAATACAACTAGTCAGCATTAAAGTGAAAAGCTATGAAGTCAAATTTAGGTTCATTCATGGTCATACTGTCTTGTATTTGGTAAGTGCTTTACCTGTCTGTATCAGCTACTGTTCTAAGTGCTATATGTGTATCAACTGATATAATTTTTACATGATTCTATGATGGAGAAACATTTATTATTTATGCATGCATTGTAGACAAGGAAACTGATGCTTAGAGAAGTTAGATATTCTCCTTAAGGTTATATCTGGTAATTGGCAGAGTCAGGCTTTGAACCCAGGCCTGCATGTTATGTTAGACTGTTTGTCAGTTCCCCTTATTTTCTGGCTAACTCTTGTACTTAAAGTCTTTGAGATGAGCGGGATCTTGGAGGTAACTGAGTTGTGTAGCTGTTTTTTGCTCTCAGATGATTAAACTGAGGCTCTGAGACAGTGAATGACCTAATCGAGGTTACAGAGTCAATAGCAGAGCTTGGGTAAGAGAACCCAGGTGCAAGACTGTCCAGAATTCTTTCCCTGAAAGCAAGTATATTTCCCTGCCCCGCCCCAACTAGAAATCTCCACCCCCTCCCCCAACTAGAAATCCCTGTGCCTCCCCCAAGTAGAAATCCCTGCCCCTCTCTCCTAACATTAATTTCTGTCACTTCTTTTAAGGTACATTAGACAAATCGATTTGTTCACCAATCCTTAAAAGCCCACCATGATTTAAATTTCGGTGATGCGAAGATGAATAGAACATAGTCTCTCCCTATGCTTGAAACACTTACTGTCCACAGGGGGCAAGGTGTCGAGAGAGAGCTGCAAACCACTAAGAACAGTGTTATGAATGGAGGTTTGTATCCAGTGTGCCATGACAGCACAAAGGAGGAAGACATCTCTTCATGATAAAGTCAGGAATCACTTCATGGAAGAACTTACATTGGACATTTGAAATCCTTACCATGTGAACAAGGAGAAGGAAGATATTTTGAATGGAAGGATAGTGTGTCCAAAATTGGTTCCTTCCAGTGGGTTCTTGGTCTCACCGACTTCAAGAATGACGCCATGGACCCTTGTGGTGAGTGTTACAGTTCTTAAAGATGGTGTGTCCGGAGTTTGTTCCTTCAGATGTTCAGATGTGTCCAGAGTTTCTTCCTTCCAGTGGGTTCGTGGTCTTGCTGACTTCAGGAGTGAAGCTGCAGACCTTCACGGTGAGTGTTACAGCTCTTAATGGAAGCGTGGACCTAAAGAGTGGGCAGCAGCAAGATTTATTGTGAAGAGTGAAAGAACAAAGCTTCCACAGTGTGGAAGGGGACCTGAGCAGGTTGTCGCTGCTGGCTCCGGTGGCCAGCTTTCATTCCCTTATTTTGGCCAGCTTTTATTCCCTTATTTTGCTCCACCCACATCCTGCTGATTGGTCCATTTTACAGAGCGCTGATTGGTCCATTTTACAGAGTGCTGATTGGTGCGTTTACAAACCTTTGGCTAGACACAGAGCACTGATTGGTGTGTTTTTGCAGAGTGCTGATTGGCACATTTACAAACCTTTAGCTAGACACAGAGTGCTGATTGGGCATTTTTACAGAGTGCTGATTGGTGTGTTTACACACCTTTAGCTAGACACAGAGTGCTGATTGGTGTGTTTACAATCCTTTAGCTAGACAGAAAAGTTCTCCAAGTTCCCACCTGACCCAGAAGCCCCCGGCTTCACCTTTCAATAGAATGTGTGAAATTGTAAACACGTTGAAGAAAATGATGCATTGAGGAACAGAATTCAGTTTAGTATAAATATATTGGACCATACTTGCAGTCGAATGCTGTAAAAGCATGAAGTAGGGGCCAGGTAGGAAATTCTGACTGAACTGTAGCAGTGAGAATAGTGGGGAGAAGATAAATTTGAGAGAGAGATGATAAGAATGACAGGACCTGGTGACATGGGAGAAGAATAAGAGGGACTCCTAGATTTCTTTCTTGGGTGGCTATGTAGATTTACACCAAAATGAGAAATACATTGTAGCAGAGAACATTGATAAGGTAATTCTATTTCGAGTGTCTATTAGACACCCAGGTACATCTGTCTAACTAACTGTGGGAAATAAGGGTCTGGAGCTCCAGGGATGCAACTGAGTGGAGAAGATGAAGATGTGGGTACATTGATGGTAAAGGAAACTAGGAAATAAAGATCTTTTGAAGAAGAGTGTATAGAGTGATAAGAGGGGGATGATAAGTATGCGAAAACAAAACAGAGATAGAGGGTGTTTACAGAGAAGCAAGAAAATAACTCAAAGAGAAAGACTTATGACGTAGAAGCAACAAAAGGAAGGGTGATAGTAGAGAGTGTTGTCAGTGGGGTTGCTCAGAGGTCAGAAAAATTAAGGACTGAAAAGTAGCCATTAGGTATACCAACTTTTAAGAATGGGGATTGGAATAAGAACAATTTTAGAAGTCTGTTTGTAGGAGCTGCATAAGTGAATGAATGCTTAAGAGGAAAAATAGAGAACAGAATTAGAAAATGAAAGGAAGGTCAGAGATAAGAAATTGAGGTCTCGGTAAAAGATGAAGGGCCTAGTGGACCTCTGTAGGCCAAGGGGAAGGAGCTGGAAAAGAGGACAAGGCTGGAGACATGAAGCAAAGTCCCAGGGTTTGGAAGGGTTGGAATCAAGGGCACTTGTGGTCAGGCTGGCTTAGTAACGACTCAGCCTTGTTGGACATGTGAATAGTGCAACATCTTTTCTTCAAACTGTCTCTCTTTGTAGCCCATGATTTATCTGAAGGTGTGTGGAGCTTCCTGGAAGGAACCTGGGAGAGACTGGAATTGTAGAGTCTGGGGATAAAATGGAGAAGGGAGTATTGGAAGTCATATTACAGGGGACATACGTTCTGATGGTAGAAGGTAGCGATGAGGAGAGGGGCTGAATGGAAGTCATATTTTAGGGGAAAGGTGAAAGAAAAGAAAAGGCGACCTGCCCATAATGGAAGATGGAATCTGGCAAAGGAAGGCTAACTTAGTGGCGGGTCCTCAGGGCTAAATGCAATCTTGGGAATAATGATGTTGCAGCTCTCATGGAACTTCTGTAACCGAAGGCTGAAAGAGGTGTGCTGCTCATTGAAATATCCCTTTCTCAAAATACGGAATATTTTGAACCAAGCCACTTAGCCCCCTTGTGGAGCTATCCATATATAGGTCTAGGGAAGTTGTCTTCATTCTCTCCCCTTTTCAACTAGCACAAAAGGAACAGTGGTGCTATTTCTCCTCTGTCCTTTGATAGGCATAGAGTGTACAGGAATTTAGCTTGGCAAGTGGCAGTTGTAGTTGGACTGGTGGTGGGAATGACAAAGCTTGTCTGAGAGAAAAATCTGTCTCACAGAGATCTGAAACCTTCTCTGGGGCTCTGATGACACTCAAAGTCATCACTACACAGAGGCAAGGAGGGCTTTTGTTTTGCAAAAGCATCGTTGGCCACTGGGCAGGAGCCCACATACAGGAGATAGTGGCTGCTTTGATGGTGACCCTGGCAGTTTTATTGTAGGGACTGGTGACGGAGTGCCAGGTCTCAGTATTCCAGGCAGGACTCCAAGTTCGGTTGACTGGACAATTTAAGAAAACACTGAGAGCAAGTATTTTTGCTTCTCAAGCTGTGGGACGGAGTATTTAAAAGCCACACAGTCCTGAATTCCAATCACAACTCTTCCAAGTACTGAGGCAAGTTATTGAACTTACTGAATTTGAGAGTGGGATCTGACTGAATGGAGCTTGGAGATATTGAAATTAGAATATTAATGTTAATGGCTACATTTATGTTGTAGGTTAGGGGAACTCAGGCATTGCAATTTAATTAAATTGTTTTCCATCTTAGACTTAAGCGTAGTAAGCAAGTTTACTCAGTTAAGAAGAAAGGAGCAACAGTTAATTACATTAGAATGCTGCTGAGCTTTCAAAGCAAAATCATTCCTAATTTGTACACTCAATCTGTAGCATATCTTATTCAGACACATACTCTTCCCCACTTTCTTCTTACCCCCATTTTATTCTGTCTTCAGGCAGTTTTTTGTCATTCTAAAGGAAGATAACAGATACGTCTATTGACTGTTTACTTTGCTACTTATTTCAATTCTACTGAATTCGAAAAATTTCACAGAGGTCCAGGTACACTAACTCATGCCTATAATCCCAGCACGTTGGGAGATGAGGTGGGAGGACTGCTTGAGCCTGGGAGTTGAGACTACGCTGGGCAGCAGAGTGAGACCCCATGTCTATAAAAAAATTAAAAAATAGGCTGGATGTGGTGGTGCCAACCTGTAGTTCCAGCAACTCGGAGGCTGAGGGCTGAGGTGGGAGGATTGTTTGAGTCCAGGAGGTCAAGTTTACAGTGTACTATGATTGTGTCACTGCATTCCAGTCTGGGTGACAGAGTGACACTTTATCTCAAAGAAAAAAAAATCACAGAGGTAGAAGAGACAATGGTCTTGGCTGATTCACAGCTGTTGTTGTGGTTATTAAAGTGTGTTTTTGGAACAGCTTCTCATTGGATGTTAATGTATCACATAAAATAAGGATAATTATTTCATAGTTTGGGAAAGCTGACCAATCATGTTTCATTTCTGTAGTAATATAGCTTCCCCAAGACTGACTATACTAACATGCATTTGGATCTCTCAAACTTATTTGACCCCGTAAAATATGAAAATGTGAAAGACATACTTTCCTTCAGAACTGTTGCAGAAATTGTGTATCATGGATCAAGCTTTCGGAAATTGTTTCTAGGAAAATGGGCAGCTTGGACTTTTGGGACCTGAGATATTGAAGTGGAAAGAGTCCTGTAGAAACTTCTAGAGTGAGAAAAGAAAAAGATTGAGAAATTTTTAGGAACTAGCTTTTGGTGTTTCGTGCTTTCTCTCTAATATGATCCCAATTTATTCCATTCGCACTTTAATCAGAACCAGGAAAATTGGAATGTGGGAATTCCAGTAACTCCCAGGCAAAATTCCTCATGTTACTCTTCTATGAGTGGTAGGGCAATACAGTACTGTGTAGTTTTTATACCAAAGACTGACTGGCTCTGTGTTTTTCTTAAATGAATGCCAGCAATTTCTGGCAATGGCAATTGCTATAGCAAATACTCCAAACAATGATCAGGGCAAGGGATATGACATATTTTATCAAAATATCTAAAATAAGTCATAAGAAAGTGTTGTTTGGGAGATATTTTTACAAGGATTTTTGTCTTCTGCACATTTCAAATCTTTCAGATGTTCTGATTGATTATCCTTTAGCCTAGGCATGATGGAAATTCTTTTCTTCAGAGCATACATTCATTGACTATTCCAGTTACACTGGATAACCCATGTGAAAAATTACCCAATTGGTGATTCTTAACCAAGGGTAGGTAAGCATACACAATTCTACATAGCTATGTACAAATATATGACACTTGGCCCATATGCACAGATTCTGATTCAGTAAGATTTAAGAGGGCCTCCTAAGTTTGTGTTTTTGCAGTGACCCCTGGATGAGTCTAATGTACACCTTGAGCTGAGAACCCTTGGGATGGATATAACTAAATTAGCAGAAATAGACTATTTTTCATTTATGAAACAGCATGGCATGCTAGACCTCACACAGTCCTCATTGATGATGGTGAAAAATGTGCATTTTAAAGTAAAAATGATGATCAGACATCTTTGTTTGTATCTGTGTCTCATATTCTAAATATTCCTTTGGAGGCAAATTTGGTAAAGTGGCAAAGTGAGAGGAACAGGCAAGATGCTGACTCACCTGCCTATAGGATGTATGTACAAAACTCCCTTTATTGAGGCAGCTTCTGTGAGTGTGGCTTATAGGTACTTTTGAATTAGGGAAATATGATATTTCAGGGTAAGGAAAATAAGGTGCACTAGACTCTCTGGGGAATGCTACATCAAGAGAGGCGATGATGAGAGGAAAGTAATGGAGCTGAGCGTTCATATCTTGGCTTCATGTTCATATCAGCTCATTCTACTCAGATCATTGACACAGCCACCAATGATAATATTTTGGATTTGCAAATAACAGAAAACCTTAAGCCACCCAATGTTCCCAGGGAGACATTGCTGAAACAATGACAAT